TTCTAGCTCTGCTTTTCTAGAACATGGTCATCAAAGTCTTTACTGTATATGAATGAGGCCAGATTATATACCGACAATACACTAATGTGCTGGAAATTCATGTGAGCAGCAGAGAGTTCAGTGTTTCCTTGGTGCACTCCAAATACCTGTATTGTCCCTGATCCATTGTGATGTTCACCACCAAGGGAAAGTGATGGCTGAAACAAGAGGGAGGCCAGTGGATATGGGTTTTGGAAGAGTGCATAAACTTAAGTTAAGGCTAGATCAGGTCCTTGGACAGGTACCCTGGTTCAGGACCAGGGTTGCAGGCTTCCCATAGGCATCTGGTCAACCATAGAATGCTGGACTAGGTAAACCTTTGGTTAGATCCAGCAGGGGCTCATCTTATGTTCTTGAAAGACACTGTCCCAACTGTGCAATTCTGAGGAGATATTTTAATGGCAAATCTGCAGAATTCTCTCACCTAAACTCTGAAATCCAGATTTTCAACCAGAAAACCTGGTTCATTCTTCTCACCTGTGGATGTATAAGTAGTTTCTAAATATTCAAATGCTGAAGACACAATGCCATTGAGATACATTCTTCTGCGACTTCTTACTTGCATGCAGTTTGCATTTGGAGAGATCGCAAAGAAAATTGTATAAGCTTATAATCATCTGCGACTAATGTTAGAACATGAGTGCTGAGGCTCTCCTTTTTGCCCATTGGGTTCTAGTTTCTTACAGCATCCAAAAAAAAAAAAAAAAAAGGAAGGCGGGAAGAAAATGTAAAGTAGGTTCAATTAAATCTCCCACTTTGAAGTCCAGAAGACTTCACTAGGGTCTTGACAGCCGCATGAAATTTTTCATCTGATGTCTTCCTGTCTGGTAATAGCACTAGAACTGATATGCAAATGACAGATGGGCTCAAAATGGTAGATGAAAGAGCTGAGCAATGCATTTGCTACTTGGGGAGACCCAGTAACCACAGCGATATTAAAGTTTGATGGCACAGAGTCAAGTCAGGGTACACTCCCTGGGTTGGCATTCCATTTGAAAATATTCTGATAGATCTTTATAGCTACTTAATCTGAAGAATAAAACAGAGGGACAAAGTGGGGAGAAAGTTGTCAGATTCAATACATCAGTTGCAAGTCATGGGAGAGTGCAAAACATGCAGTCACTGTCTTTTGGAACCCAGATGACCAAATGCAAAGGAAAAGAGGGCGCTAGTCCCTTTAAGGGTATTTTGATTTTTTTTGTGGGTGGGTGGTGAGATAGTACAGCTTAGTAATGATGTGGGTGGCACTGTGGTCTAAACCACTGAGCTTCTTCGGCTTGCTAATTGGAATGTCAGCGGTTCAAATCCCCGTGATGGGGTGAGCTCCCATTGCTCTGTCCCAGCTCCTGCCAACTGAGAAGTTAGAAAGCATGTCATTGCAAGTAGATAAATGGGTACTGCTGCAGCAGGAAGGAAAATGGCATTTCCGTGCACTCTGGTTTCCATCAAGGTGTTCCATTGAACCAGAAGTGGTTTAGTCATACTGGCCACATGACCCGGAAAGCTGCCTATGTACAAACGCCGGCTCCCTCTGCCTGAAAGCAAGATGAGCGCCGCAAGCCCATAGTCGCCTTTGACTGGACATAACCGTCCACAGGTCCTTTACTTTTTTTACCTTTAGTACAGCTTACAAAGCAAAAGTGAGAGAAACTGCCTCTGCTAAAAATCCCTCATCTGTGCACCTGTAGAAGATAGAGGACACCATCTTCCGTTGCATCTTGTATACCAATGATGAGCAACCTGTGGTCCTCTGTCAATAGCTGGACTCCAATTTCCATCAGCCCCAGACAGCCTAGCTAATCAGAATGAAGGGAGCTGTAGTTGAACAACACCACAAGTTCCTCTTCCCTGAAATATATCATTGGAAACTTGGTTGGCATCCATCTGTCTTAAGAAAGAATGGAGTGCGCCTCTGGGTGTGGCATCAAACTGCTGCATTAGCAACACCCAAGTGACTTCCATGGGATGTAAGCCTGGGCAGTGTGTGTGGAGGTCCTGGGCTGTCCAGCTGACAAAACTCCACTCTTGACCTCACTGAGGAAAGCAGAGCAATACGCTTGGCTGCAGGATTTGCCAGAAGGAGGAGTTACTAAGAGCAAATGAGGTCAATTTAGAGTATGGGCAATACTTCACATGGGTGATCCTAGCTAATCGGGGTCATACTTTAAAGTGGTGACATCACTGAAGGCCAACACTAGAACAGGAATGGGAAACTGGCCTTCCAGTTGTTGTTCCCACTGCCCCACTCAGGATGGCAACACAAAGAGATAGCAGCTTTCAATGTAGAGGTGAAATAGTGTGCATTTGCTCTGCTTCATGTTTAATAGGATTTCATTGTTGGGATAAGCATCTATGCCTTTCCTCTTTGCTCCTTTTCATAGTGGTGGTGACCTGAGTAGGAACATAAAGATTAGCTTTCATTTGAAAAGCTATTTGTTTATTTCCCCCTCCCCTGTCTCTCTTATTTATGGCTCATCTGAAGCCTAATTAAGTTTTTAATGTTTGATCAGCAGCTAAGGCCAAATAGAGAGAGGTAAACACGGGGAATCTTATTTCATTCGGGGGTTTTTCTCTTTATTGAAGCTGCTGTATAAATATAAAAACAATGGCTTAGTATTGTGGGGAAAATTGTTCTTCTATTTCTGCTTCCTAAATGCATAATGCATTATTATAGAAGAGAACCAAACTACCATCAGTAAAAATATACTTCTCCTTTCATCTTTTTAAAACCTGTAGGCTCCCCGCCCCCCCAACAGTATAATTGGTTTTACTTGTTAACTTAATTAAAACCATCCACTGAATGTCCTATTGGTTGTGATTCTGAAATTATTTGGTTTTCAAATACTCCTCCTTAGCCCTACCAAGCAAGGTTACTTGATATATGGGTCTGCAGTCAAAGGCTGCATTCACATGGCAAGGTAGTGGGTGGTACTGTGGACTAAACCACTGAGCCTCTTGGGCTTGCTGATCCGAAGGTCGGCGGTTCAAATTCCCGTGATGGGTTGAGCTCCCATTGCTCTTCCCAGCTCCTGCCAACCTAACAGTTCGAAAGCATACCAATGTGAATAGATAAATAGGTATCACTGCGGCGGGAAGGTAAATGGCATTTCCATGTGCTCTGGCTTCTGTCACAGTTTCCTGTTGTGCCAGAAGTGGTGCTGGCCACATGACCTGGAAAGCTGTCTGTGGACAAACGCCGGCTCCCTTGGCCTGAAGCAGGATGAGTGCCACACCCCATAGTTGCCTTTGACTGGACTTAACCATCCACGGGCCTTTTACCTTTTACCTCACGTGGCAGTGCATTCTGTTTCCCCAACATTTCCTTGTTAGTTTCCAGATTATGTTTGAGCTTCCACACAACGTAAAACCCACTTCCAAAGATCTGCTGGAACCTAGTGGAAATTTAATGCTCATTTCTATGTTGGGGGGGGGGTTGGGGGGGGATCCGTTTGCAACCCCATTAGCCCCCAGAATTTGAGGAGTAAGGTAACAACATTTGGACAGCATAATGACATACAATTGTTTCCTTCCATTGTCATGGGTGAATCATGGCGGATCAGAAGCACATATATGCAGAAAGAAGTGAGGAGTAACTATGCTATCCAGTGATGTTCATTTCTGTGTCACACCACACCTAATGGTGTGACTGAAATTTAGCACGACATGCTAAATTTAGCGGCCAAAAAACCACAATGCAACCAATATTGCGGTGTGAAAGGCACATTAGAAAAAAGGACAGAAGAATTAGCTGCATGTTCAGGAAAACTACCACAATATTCCATACATCTGAATGTACTCCAAAATAGCATCCCTGTGCACATTCTCCTATGAACCCCAGTGCAGTTCGGCAGTGCAGTGCAAACACACTGCTGGAGCCCTAATAATAATAATAATAATAATAATAATAATAATAATAATGGGTTTCCCCCCAGCCACTCTGGGCAGCTTCCAACAAAATATTAAAATACAATATAATAATAATAATAATAATAATAATAATAATAATAATAATTTATTATTTGTACCCCGCCCATCTGGCTGGGTTTCCCCAGCCACTCTGGGTGGCTTCCACAGAGACCAAAAATACACCAAAATGTCACACACTAAAAACTTCGCTGAACAGGGCTGCCTTCAGATGTCTTCTGAATGTCAGGTAGTTGTTTATCGCTTTGACATCTGATGGGAGGACGTTCCACAGGGCGGGCGCCACTACCAAGAAGGCCCTCTACCTGGTTCCCTGTAGCTTTGCTTCTCGCAATGAGGGAACCGCCAGAAGGCCCTCAGTGCTGGACCTCAGTGTCCGGGCTGAATGATGGGGGTGGAGACGCTCCTTCAGGTATACTGGGCTGAGGCCGTTTAGGGCTTTAAAGGTCAACACCAACACTTTGAATTGTGCTCGGAAACGTACTGGGACAATAGTCTGTTAAACATTAAAAGCTTCCCTAAACAGCACCTCTGTGGATGCATTTGCCCTGCATTGCCTCACACATCCCTTTACCTCTCCTTAAGCAGCAGGGACCACAGGTACCAACTTGGGAGGGCGATTGGGGTGCGTGTGCAATGTCATGTGTGTGACGTCAAGATGTCAGGAGGCACTAGGCACAGAGACAAACATGGTGGCCGCATGACTCAATGGCTGGTGGCTCCTCTTGGCGCTGCCACCACTGGGAGGCTGCTTCAACCATCCCTCCCCTCTGCAGCAGGAGAAGGAGGAGCTGTCCAAACTGACTGGAAATGGCTCTCCAGGGTTTCCAGCAGGAATCTTTTCCAGCATATGTGCCCTCTCCTAGGGGCTGGGACACTTTAGCCCTCCTCCCTTAATGTTATTTTTTGAGGGGGAGAGCTCCCTCAATCTTCAGAGAGCTTTCGGCTCCACCCCCTGGCACGCATGGCAGGGCGTTGCACCAGGTCCCCTCAATCATCTTGAGAAGATAGTGTCACTGTTTCCCAGTCGTATTTTGAGATGCTGGGGATTAAACCATTGACCTTCTGGATGCAAGCCAGATGTTCTACCCCTGAGCTATGGCCCTTCCTTTCACGTCACTTCTTTTGAATAACCAGATGTTATGAAGTGGAATGGAAATGCAGGTTTCCTACTTTCTGCAGCATCTAGTTTTGATCCTTATGAAACCATTACAAAAGAAGCTATTGAATCTTTCCTTCTGTAGTCATTTTCCCTGTGCTCATTTTTAAATCTTTTTTTTTTATTTGGTTCTCTCATTGATTTTATTATTTGCTTTACAGTGTTTTCAGGCATATCTCTTAATTATCTTTTATGAGGTCACTGCACGCTCTGGCTTAGACCATTTTGGCTTAATTAACCTTTGGCCGGAATGCGTTTCTAAGTGGAAAGAGGGACTCTTAAAGGCTGAGGCCTGCAACAGAAGCTCCTTCAAAGACAAAGCCTCACATTTGCTGAGAGATGCATGGAGATTATGCCAATTATTTGTCCTGCAGGGTGAACTCTGTTCAAGTGGCTTTTAAAGAGATTCTTACAGCAGAAGCACAATGGTGCTGGCTATTGTCCAGGTTTATATCATCAGGAAAGCAGGATATTTAAAAGCCCCCCAACAGCAAGATGACTTGAGCTAATTTGGTACTAGAAAATCCATTGGAAGGGTGTCTTTCCCTGCCTGTTCCAAAATTGGATCCCAGAGTTCCTGGGCCTTTACACTCAACCAGTCAGATGGGTGGGGTATGAATAAGTACTATTATTATATCTGCTGCTGCTTTTGATATACTGCTTGTCCCTTTGCCTTGCTGAATATTAGATGACTCCCAGCGATGCTACACCAGTTACACTGACTCCCAGCTCATGTCCAGGCCCACTTCAAAATAGGCATTGAGGAATCTGCTAGTTGCAATTTCTCTCAATTTATCATTTTTCCCCAAACTTACATTCAATTCTCCCCATTTCCAAAGCAGTTAGCAATTAAAAGCAATTAAAAGAGAATGACCCAAACCTGTGTGTGCATTTCAATTAATGCATGGATTTTAATGCAATTTTGCCTAAGATGCAATTTTTTCAATTTAATATAATTCATTTTATATTATTATTATTATTATTAAGCATTTGTGTGTGCATATTTCCCTACTATAATTTATGTTTACATTATTTTCACATTATTTTCAAGCACACTTGTCTTTTCCCTATAAGTAATATTTTCACATTATTTTCACCAATTAAGCATGTTCAGCTGCTTAGTTCCCTATTCAACGCTTTGTGTGTGTGCGTGTTGGTGGTAGCACAATTATCAGAGAAATGTCACAGGGTTGGGGAAGTTGTGGCCTTCCAGATGTTGTTCGACTCAAATTCCCATCAGCCTCAGATAAAAATAGTCAATAGTCAGGGAGCTGTAGTCTATCCACATCTGGAACATGTTCCCCAACTTTGACATATTAGCCAGGTAACTGCAAATTAGGTCAGTTCACATTAGGGCACCATTTGCACTATACCAGGGGTCAGCAACCTAAGGCCCATACAGTGGCGTAGTGTGGGGGGTGCACCGGGTGCAACATCTGGGGGGCGCGCTCGAACTCGCAGCTCTCTGCCCCTACCTGGCTCACTCACTCTAGGGGGCGCAGATTACTTGCCTTGCCCCGGGTGCTGACAACCCACGCTACGCCACTGGGTCCATGGGCCAGAAGCAGCCCATGGAAGTCATTTGACCGCCCTCCAAGTTGGCCCCGAACTGAGTTGCCCGCTTGCGCACGGCGCTAAACCACGGCGCTAAAGACTCGCTTCCACGGTGCCGGAAATCACGGGGGTGCATGCGATCCGGCCCACGGAGTGATCTCTGTGGAACCGATCCGACCCAGGCAAGAAAAACCTTGCTGACCCCTGCACTATACATTTAAAATCACATAATGGTGGCACTGTGGGTTAAACTACAGAGCCTAAGACTTGCCAATCAGAAGGTCGGCGGTTCGAATCCCCGTGACAGGGTGAGCTCCCATTGCTCAGTCCCTGCTCCTGCCAACCTAGCAGTTTGAAAGCACATCAAAGTGCAAGTAGATAAATAGGTACCGCTCCAGCGGGAAGGTAAATGGCATTTCTGTGCACTGCTTTGGTTCGCCAGAAGCGGCTTAGTCATGCTGGCCACATGACCCGGAAGCTGTACACTGGCTCCCTCAGCCAATAAAGCGAGATGAGTGCCGCAACCCCAGCGTCGGCCACAACTAGACCTAATGGTCAAGGGTCCCTTTACGTTTAATGTCACTTTAAACAGTCATGGCTTCCCCTAAGGAATCCTGGGAGTGGCAATTTGCAAAGGTTGCTGAGAGTTGTTAAGATTCCTCTCAAAAGCTACACTTTCCAGAAGAGACTGATAACTAAACCACTGTGGGAATTGTAACTCTGAGAGTGGAACTGGGATTTCCTCTCAGAACCATTATCAATAGACAGCTTCCAGGATACTTTGCGGTAAGCCCGGGTTGTTTAAAGGTTTGATTTACATGTATAGTACAGACGGGGTATGTGGAATGAATCTGCCCCCCCCCCATTCATCCCTAGTTCAAAGTGCTGGTTTTGCCCTTTAAAGCCCTTTACAGCTTACAATCAGGATACCTGAAAGACTAGCTGTGTCTGTATATGCACAAGTTACCCACAGTAGCCAACCAGATGTCTGTCAGAAGCTCACAAGTGGGATATTAGGGGAGCAGCCCTCTCCTGCTGTTGTTCAGAACTTCTTTTCCTGGAAAAAAATGGAAGTTTTGAAAAGATCAAAAGAGCATGTCTGCCAGTTCCTTGCTTCAGATAAGGGCATCCTTCCACAAATCACATCCACATCAGCCTCTGCAACTCAGACCACAAATCTATCCAGATGGAGTGAAACTAGGCAATATGGGGAATGTGTGCTCCCCAAATCAGCAGTACAGTGGTACCTCGGGTTAAGTACTTAATTCGTTCTGGAGATGTGTTCTTAACCTGAAACTGTTCTTAACCTGAAGCACCACTTTAGCTAATGGGGCCTCCTGCTGCCGCCGCTCCGTCAGAGCCCAATTTCTGTTCTTATCCTGAAGCAAAGTTCTTAACCTGAAGCACTATTTCTGGGTTAGCAGAGTGTGTAACCTGAAGCGTATGTAACCTGAAGCATATGTAACCCGAGGTACCCCTGTATTAACCTCCCCTCTCTCAGCTGTGTTCTAGCAAATTTCAACGTACGACATTTCTACACTCATGAGAAGGCTGGACTCTAAATGGAGAGGGGGCAGGTTAGCTCTCAGTGAGATGCAAAATATTGCATATTTTGGTGTACTAGATGGTACTGAAGGGACGCAGATGGCATTTGGGGTTAATGAGTGCATTTGCGGCCACACGCCCTCTGTGTTGTCTCAGTCCACCCTCCGCCATGTGGGCAATGGCACATTCTGCATCAGAAGGCAGACTTCGGAAAGATGTGATTCTTTGATCTGATTCTATGATTGAGGAAGCTTTCAGAAGAACTACATCTCCCATCATCCAGCATGCGGCAAATCAACATAGCTGATTCTCTGAAACAGAGAAGCAGGGGAACTATTCCCTCTCTCTACTGCTTGCTCTGCCAAACCTGTCTGCTTTCATAAGATGAAATAAAGGGACGTGCATGTTTCAGGGCTGGTGGAGAAGACTTCTGGGAGTGGGGGAGAGGGCTAATTTTCCCAAGCCCTCACATTGACTCTGAAAAATATATATTCCCCCAGATAATTAATGAAGCAATCCAAGGTGAGTCACACCCACCCCAGCTTCCACCAGACAGCTTGTGGGAACTGAGTCATCAGACTGTATTAGTCTGGCAATTATTATTTTTTTACCCTGCAATAGTTTCCTTTTATTTCCAAGCTCAATTTAAGGTGTTGGATCTTAGTTTTAGAGCCTGAAATAGTTCAGCGCCTGTGCACTCAGACTATCACCTCTCTGTATCATTATCCTTATTATTATTCAATGGATTGATTTATCTCTCTCACACACCCCACTTCCTCCTGAAGGAGCCCACTTCAAAACCCATTCCACTCAACATCTGACGTCCTGCTCCAAGGACTCCCAGTCTACTGGAAGCAGAGCCTTTTCAGTCGTGGTGCCAACTCTATGGAAGGGTTAATCCTGCTGACTGCAGGGTGCTGCTTCGTCAGCACAGTCCTCACAGGGAATCAGCACCCAGCAGGATTGAACCCTCACAGCACGTGATCAGCTGAGCCTGAAGAGGGCCATCTTCACCATGGATAGGGTTGCCAGAGTTGGGACAGGAACCCTGATTGGTCAGAATTCTTGTGCGAGTTTTGGAAATGGTGAAAGCAGGGCTCTTTTTTCAGCTGGAACTCGCTGGAACTCAGTTCTGTCCCCTCTCGGGTAGACGCTATTGCCATTATAAGAGAACAAGGAAGATGTTCATGGTGAGTTCTGGCACCTCTTTTTCTAGAAAAATAGCACTGGGTGAAATTGTACCCCTTCAGCCAATTGTATGGTGGAGTGTTGCCAGTCCAGACAGCATAATTCCTGTGGTGGAGCTAGCCCCACACATTCCTGAAGCTCTCTTCACATGTTCAGAAGCCAACATCTGAAGAGAACTGAAATGTTGCCATGAAGGGGAAAGCCTTCTGACCCACTGCTGCAGTCAAAAGCCTGCCTGCCTGCCCTTCCCATGTTATCTGGTGGTATAAGAACATAACAAGAACCAGCTGGACCAGGCCAATGGCTCATGTAGTCCAGCGCCCAGATGGCCATGGGAAGCCAACAAACAGCACCTGAGTACAAGAGCATTCTCCACTCCTGTTTTTTCCCAACAACTGGTGTTCAGAAGCATTGCTGCCTCTGGCCATGGAGGAAGAGCATAGCCGTCATGACTAGTAGCCATTGATCACTTTATCCTCCATGAATTGGTCTAATGCTCTTTTAAAGCCATCCAGTCAGTGGCCTCCTGTGGGAACCACTTCTGACCTCAGGAGGAGGTGGTGTTGTGGGCTTCACGTCCGCAACACGCGCGGGGGGGCTGGGTCTCAGCCCCCGCGCCATCTGGGGAATCCTCAGCCGTGACATCCCCTGGCTGGCT